TTGTAATGGAAATGCCGTTTATCGGCTGCAACCTGAATGCTATAAAATAAAAAATTTAAACATTTCCTATATGAGACAAACCGACAGAAACATGTTTTTTAAAACGAGTTTAGCTTTAAAATTAGCTAATAATAACAAATGAAATTACGTATCCAAAAACTGCAAAATAACTAGAATGTTAACTAGAATCCTCATCATTATACATCATGATAGAAATCAATATAGCTTTAAAGTAATAATATATCTACATTGTTTTCGGCACAGTCCAAGCCAGCGAATGTCAAATATGTTGAAGAAGTCTTGAAATATCCACATCCTACTTTCTTCGCTTCGGCTAGCTCGTACTAAAAACGTTCGTGCTGGCTGCAGACCACTGAGTTTCGGATGTACATCTATATATTGTATACATTATAATGTTTGCCAAAGTCACCTCATAATATATAGGTTTCTATCCTATATTTAATCTCACGTGTTTTAATGTTTTTTCTGTAATGCTGGTTTTAGCGGAAAAATGTTTCTTTTCTTATTAAATGTAAGTGATGCTTTCCTCCCTAACCACAACTACAGGACCTTTGGGATGGGATGTCAAACGTGGAGGTTTCTGATTTTTAATTTTGCTGCCGAAGAAGGAAAGGTTTTCCAGCTTCCCGTCATCATCAGAATAGCACAGAATAAAGAAAGAATCTTTCCCCTCTCTCGCCCAGGTTAAGAGCTTTATTTTACCAAACACGCAATGAAATGCCGCACTCAATACCTTGTGTCCTTTTGGGACTTTTATTGTTGCCTTTAGGTCTCCTCTCTTTGTGTATATTTCAACCGCCTTACGATTGTCCGTTGGTATCATAATTTCATTCTGCGAAGAGATACTCAATGACGCCGACGTACTGGACTTACGTATAAACTTGTATTTGAATTGACCGACCTCATCAAAAACATACACTCGTGGATCCTTCTCTAGGATTATAATGATATCACCTTGTTTGCATATCGCGATCTTAATCGGACAAGAGGATATCGGCATCACCGTGCTAAGATAATCCAACGTATGTTCTGCTTTTACGTGGAAATTCTCGTCCAAAATCGTCAAAATCAATTCTTTACCAGAGTGCCCTTCGACTTCTCTCACCAGGTAAACATTGTTATTGATATCGACAGCAGACGCCAAATGAATACCACGTATAAATTCAGGTACCGTAACCCGCTTGATTTTTCCTGTCTCAGAAACAATCACCATGTTCTCAAGCGACTGAGGCTCAGGGATGGTGAGAACATCTCCCTTACTGTTCACACCAGATAAGGTGGCGATTCGTTCATCAAAGGAGAGCTCGTTTGGAGGACGAGTTAACTCGTTTTCTGAAGACTGATTTTTTGCGAAAAATTCGTACCAATCTATTATTGGGTGGAATTGCCTATGAGATTGAAGATCAATCGTTGGTAAACAGGCGGACACTTCGAATAAACGCTTGTTGCTGAATTTCCAAACGTATTGAAACAACACGTAGTTAATTATCATAACTGACTTGACGTTTTCTTCTCTTTGCGTTTTCTTTAGAAACGATTTGACTCCACCGTCCAAATACACCGAGAACATATCCTGAATGGCTGGTAAGCTGTGCAGAGTTTTCAGAAACGGCAAGCATCCAGTGATTGCGGTCTCAGGACTATCGAGATGTTCAAGTATCTCCGAAATTATTCGTAGCTTCGCAGCCAATATCCTATCCTCGATACAAAATGCTTCATTCCAGAAAGCGGTGACCGCTGTCTTGCGTGCTTCTTTAAATCTTTCTCTCGCAGTTTCAAACTCTCTATCACCGTTGAGTTTAAGCTGTCCCATAGCACGAGAAAGCTCAAATGCTCGGTTCAAGACGCCATACTCGTCTGACGATCCACCAAGGTTCGCAGAAGCTCCGCTCGATTTCTGCCCCAAAGATATTTTATCCAGAGAAACATTAAGTAAATTGACTCCTTCCAGCAGAAAATCGTGACTAGCGAGTAAAGTTGCTCGGGAAAAGCCATCAATTCTGGACTTGATATCGTCTAACTCCTTTACCACAAGCTTTCGAATTTCCGCATCGACTACGTCGCCGTCTTTGAGTTTTTCAGCCGTCCAGTCAATGGCTTTATTCCACAATATACCAGCTGTTGAACTGAGAATACCTGTCACAATTTCTGCCATATCTGAGAATACCTGGAGTGTCTATTCCAACTGATGATAAACTTTGACTGTTCACTAATTAATTTGCCAAAGCTAATTCAGTCTTAAAAAAATTCCGAACTATGTTAATATGCATGCGTGTTATGTTAACTATGTTCATTCCGTCCAATTTCGCCATATCACGCGTATGGAATTTTCCGATCTAAACATGCAAATTTGCAAAAGGTAAGTTTCTTTGTTTAAAACATATTATTGTGACACTGACATGGAGTTACTCTCACGAGTTACATTGCATCCTCTTACCACGTTGCTCCTTTCCGAAATATTGAACAGGGGTAACAAGAGAAACTCGGTTGATCGAAAACCATTATTTTCGCAGCGTGCTAAAATGATTTCGTGTTCAACACATGAAAGACGCGGTGGGGGTCCTCACGCAATGATTCCAATTTATCGTAAAATTTGTAAACTTAACTTACATCCAACGATCATTACATTCGATGAAGTTAATCTAGCTATAGTGCAAACATTTTTCACGTCGGTTTTGATTTTTCAGAAGGAAATGAAAAATACAATCATTCTGCTGTGATTTGAAACGATTAATTGCATTCATAAGGGTTGTTCGAAGGACAATTAAATAATTATTATGACAAAGACCCTTCTCTGCATCGGATATAAAATCACAGCAAAAATCACAAGTGCCTATAAACGGGCTTTTACAGACTATACTTAGCCTTAGTAGAGGTCAATGGCATGCAATCTATACATCCAATAGATCTAAGCTTCGTTGCAGGGTGATAGTTTTTAAGGAACCATGATTTTCATGGGTTATTGCGAATAAATTATGATTCCCATGATATGTCGCCAGGCAACAAGAAACCACGTGATTGATTTTGACCAATCGCGTGACTAGATTTACGCCAATGCACGAAGATTGTATATTAAATATATATAATTATATACCACTTATTAACCGAATTTGAGGTCGGTACTAGAAAAATATCACACCGAGGTCTTGACAGTACGGACTGAGCAATAGCGAGGTCCGTACATAAAAGACCGAGGTCTGATATTTTTCCAGTACGGACCAAACGTATTCGGTTAATAAGTGATTTATTATATGGCATACAGTATTCCGTTTATATATTTATATATACAATGCTCTGCAGCATTCTTGCCGGCTCTTTCGTCAGCCAGTCGCCAAGCAAGCACTGAAGTGGATTCCAAAACTTTGTTTTTTTATTACTTGTTAAATAAGAATGATACAGTAATATAAACAAAAATCAAAGATGAATAAGTATAATATTCAAATGTACCAAATGATGCTCTTCTTCGTCCATTCTCCGTCGATATTTTTCGTTTGAAAAGTAAAAGTGCAAGCTTGTTTTTGTTCAAAAATATGAGAGTTGGACCGTTACTACGGCAACGGTGTAATACTGGGAGATTCCAGACCGGCAAAGAACCAATCAGCGCACGCCATTTTAGTCACGAGACCGCGTGCCATATAATAAATGTAAATATTGCATAACACTGACCTATACTAAGGCTAGGGCTATGTAGCCGGTAAATGCATTGCACTGAAACTGAGCTATAATGATGCACTGTAATGATACGCGACTGTCCGCGCGGAAGACAGCCCGAGTAAAAAGTCTGTAAAAGTCCGTTTACACTTGCGATTTTTGCTGTGACTTTTTCGTGCGATTTTCTACTTTTGATAGATGTGAATGAGTGAATTAGTTACGAATTAATGCTTTGATGTATAATAAAACGAGCCTTAAATCATCAAATTGGGGGAGTCAATACTAAGCCGGTCTATCGAAAAGCAAAATAAAAGATAGCGAACACAAGCTACCTGCATGGCCTACAGTGTTTGCTAATATTCACGAATTGCACCGCAGCGAATTACTGACCCGTTGCATGAAACATTATTATTTAATCACTTTGGTAAACCCAGCATAATATTGACCTCGCTTGTTCGATCTGTGCTGTGAAATATCAGACCGAGGTGTTGCAAAGTATGGACCGAGCGACGAATGAACGAGGTTCATGTAAAAATCCTCGGTCTGATATTTCACAGTATACAGATCGAACAAGCGAGGTCAATAACCTGTTTATTATATGGCTAAACTGCATCAGACATCCCGGATATGGTCCAGATACGCAATATAGAGACCACGGTCCGAATATGATTTTTTACGGACCGCTCGTCAACCAATCAAAATGGAGGATCTTAAAAAGCCATATTTTAAACCGTTCTATTTAATAGAACATGTTAATAAGCAAAAGTACTCATTTGATCTATTTATCAGTGATTTACATTAAAATTACGAATTCGACGTTTACGGTAAACGCTGCATGAACATTAGCTCTATTTTTGTGTCTTTGGTGTAATGAATGTTTTTATTCGTGCAACGGAACAAATATTTTCATTTCGTCTAGTTTACGGCTGGTTTATTCCTGTTTCCCTGGCACAGTTTATAGATATAAAGGGACGTGGTGAGGAGGTATTAAAGTGACCTCCACCGCCGTTGGATTGGACTGACTGTTATCAGCATAATTTCTCAAATTTTCGTTCGGCCTGATACGTGTTACTTATAAACGGCACCGTATATAGCTAACTCTCCACACAAACCAGCAATGTAGCGGTAAGGAACATTTGATGCCCCCGGATGTGTAAATGTTTTCAGATGGAATTGGAACTTTTTCATGAAAGGGGATAGATTTGTTTGAAAAGGCAGTTCGAACAAATTATGTCGAAGCATGGGGTAATGTAAAACTTTAGTGAAGCATATATATGACCATGCAGCTGGAGAAATTTTTATAATTTTTATAATAAATCTCATTTCCTTTTTGCTGACATTTTCGTTTCTATTTATCAACGGTGAGCCGAAACTGGAGCCATGTTAACTGTAGGTTAACGCTAACAGTAACATTATGATCTAACAGTGACATTATGATCTAACTGTAACATTATGATCTAACTGTAACATTATGATTTAACAGTAACATTATGATTTAACAGTAACATTATGATCTAACAGTAACATTATGATCTAACAGTAACATTATGATCTAACAGTAACATTATGATCTAGTGGTGAATGCAATAACACTTTAGGCAATTTCCTATTTACATTCCTCCCAGACTAGGTTACAGATCATTTCAAACTAGCCTACTACAAAATACATTAAACAATTGCGTAAACGTAGTTATTTTTCTCCTTTCCAGCACAAGCTAATGTTGATTGATCAGAACATGTCTTCCAGTTCGTGTTGACGCATTCTGTTGAAACTCCATCTTCTTTGAAAGAATTTTCGTCTCCTGAAGGACCTGACCAACATTCACCTGAAATCGGACATAATATTTGGTTCAGACACAGGTTCAGACGAGAGATTGTTATACTGCATGAATCTGAAAGAAGAAACCTACACAAAACCTACCATAATATTGTATTCCAAAGTATTTAAAATTTTTAGATTTTGCAAGTTGGGCACAACGGCAGACCAAATCGGGAAGATAGTTCACCCAATTTCCCCAGTCAATTCCTTTGCCACTGTAAATCGATAAGGTATTGTCGCGATCAGTTAAGATGTAGTTTGGAAGAGGACGTGGAGGAATTTGATCGTCTTTAAAACATCCTTTCTTCTCAAGACGTACTAGACATGATACTAAAGATATTGGGAGGAAATTTCTTTGAATGATGCTATAGAACATTGATGGTGCCGTGAAATCGTTTTTCATTGGTGTTATAGCCTCTAACCCAGACGCTTTACTAGTAAAATATATATTACGTTGCATTCAGCTATTGTCTAAAGATCAGCTGAAAAAAGCGAGCGCACTGGTGGTGTTTGGGCTGGTTTCCCTTCGAGCGCTCGATTTTTCTCAGCTGAACTCTATATTATACCTGAATGCAACGTTATATGTTTTTCCACTAAAACACCTAGGTACGAGCCTGTTAGTGTTATTAATCTATATATAACCAAAGAGTATAGCGTGCGAGCTCTCCTGAAGAAGGTCCTTTTTTGTCGACTAAAAAAATTAGGCAGTTTGAAGAATGTTACTAATTTTACTAGTCAACTTACATTCTCCTGGAATGGATGGCGCTGGTGGTGGGACCGGAGCAGATGGTATGATTGGTGGAGGTGGGGAAGGTATGATTATTGGAGTTGGGGTTGTTAGTGGCAGTGGAGATGGTATGATCGGTGGTGCAGGGGTTGCTGGTGGTGGTAGAGAAGGTGTGTTTGGAGGGGGTCGAGATGGTATGATCGGTGGTGCAGGGGTTGCTGGCGGTGGAGGGGAAGGTTTGGTTGGAAGGGGTGGAGATGGTATGATCGGCGGTGCAGGGGTTGCTGGCGGTGGTGGAGAAGGTTTGGTTGGAAGGGGTGGAGATGGTATGATCGGCGGTGCAGGGGAGGCTGGTGGTGGTGGAGAAGGTTTAATTGGAGGGGGTGGAGTTGGTATGATCGGTGGTGCAGGGGTTTCTGGCGGTGGTTGGGAAGGTTTGGTTGGAAGGGGTGGAGATGGTATGATCGGAGGTGCAGGGGTTGCTGGTGGTGGTGGAGAAGGTTTGATTGGAGGGGGTGGAGATGGTATGATCGGTGGTGCAGGGGTTGCTGGTGGTGGTGGAGAAGGTGTGATTGGATGTGGTGGAGATGGTATGATCGGTGGTGCAAGGGTTGCTGGTGGTGGTGGAGAAGGTTTGATTGGAGGGGGTGGAGATGGTATGATCGGTGGTGCAGGGGTTGCTGGTGGTGGTGGAGAAGGTGTGATTGGATGTGGTGGAGAGGGTATGTTTGGTGGAGCAGGGGTTACTGGTGGTAGTGTCGGCGGACGTGGAGTTGGCGTTGGTAGACGCATGGTTGTAAAGGTTGGAGGTAATTTGGAGGGTGGGGGTTTGATGGTTGGCTTTGTGACATTTTTACCGCATATCATAGGACATATGAGGATATGAGTACAGTGCTTGCATGTTGATTTCATTGACAAAGTGAGTTTGTCTGAAAGAATAAGTTCAAACTTTAAAAGTGGTATTAATAAAATAGATTTTCACGATTGCTTTCCTGTTTAGAAATATGCTTTGATTTCAGAATTAACCAGTTTTGCCTCCATGGGTTTCTTTACTAAATGAGTTAATTTTGGACATCATCTGGTCCACAGCTAACAATTTGTTTGCTAACAACCGTGGCACGAGCAGCCAAAAATTAGGAATGCTTAAGAAATAATGATGAGGTGTTTGAGTTTTCCGCCTGTGGCCGGTTGTATGAAGCCCATTTAGCCCATCAAAATAAATAACACTTTTAGATCTGTTTTGAGTCAACTTGAATATCATGCACTGAATATCTACAATGCGAACCACGATATTAGTTTTATAATAGATTTAAGCAATACTCATTTAAATCTCATCATGTATAAAAGAGGTGATCCACGCTATTAGTTTCAAAAATCTGTGATCACGATGGGACGATGAACCGATTGAGGAGGAGTGTCTGTAAATTACTTGAATCAACAAGTGCAAGAATTTTTAAAGAGGCTGGTCTACCAAATTTGACGAAAACAACCCGAAACCGTCTCCTTACGAAGGTTGCAGCAATCAAAAGTCCGCCTAAAATGCCTCGCCTGACCTCGACAAATAAAAAATTACGTGTAGAATGGTGCAAGAAAGATATGAAAATGAAAGGAAGCTTGTCCTATTCACTGACGAATCAAGGGCAACGTTAGATGGTCCTGACGGCTGGGCAAAAGAATGGATTTAACGATAAACGATTTTTTATATCTGTCTCATGGAATTAACGCCGTTTTTCCAACATGGAGCTAAAATCGTATGTCAGTAGAAAAATTGCCAAGTCGAAATAATGGTGCATATTTTCATCAATAGTTTCACGCTAGGATTGGGTAAATTTAGTACCATTGTATGAAAATTTCTATTTGAACTAATAAAATTATCGTGTTTCGCACTGTAGTTGCTAACGGTATCATATTGTATAAAAGTTAAGAACATTTAGTTCGCTTCTTGAATAAAACGATAGACTTGCTTTCAATTTTGAACTTAACCACCGTTCAAGCTAAACGGGCTTGATATGCAACCGGCCCCTGTACGGCTAGCGTGTAGGGACAATCAGTTTGAAATTTTAGAAGATATAGACCGCCCACAAAAGACGCCAGCATTGCTAACGAAATACTATGTCACGCGAATTTTCAGTTTTCCTAAGCATATAAATCAATTTCTGGAAGCAAAATTTGGAATCTATGCACGCCAGAGCAGTCAAAATGTATTATCGTTAAGTAATCTACACGAATATTATGACATGTTAAAATTCATTTGCTTTTTATTGAAAAATAAAAAACTTTACAAAATCGCGCCACGTTGCCAAATCGTGTCTGCTCGGCTGCTCTGTGTGGACCTTAATTAAGACTATACGTGTCAGGAAACAAGCATGTATGTATAATGTGATTTAGCATTGTAAAAAAATACAAGGTCAATATCGACGAGGAAATTACTTGGGGAACATGTCACATAAAATGACGTGTAAAGTAAATATTATTATGACCCTTCGGAATCAGAAAATTACTTTTCCTGTCATGAGGTGACAGCCCATGGAATTTCCTCAATAGTATGTCGTACAAAGTACAAGTGTCACTACTCAAGAACATAAGTTCTAGGCGGATACTAGTTTGTGTCAATCATTTCCTTGTTATATTTTGCTCGGTTAAGCACTTGAAGCCTTACGTCACGAAAACCTTAATTCGATAAAATTATTAGTAAAATAGTTTATAAGTTTGAGATACGGCTCACAGAGTAATAATTTGGTAATTGTTCTTTATAAGTTTATGATAAATATTTTTAGTTGGGAACACGTTTTAACAATGATCGATTAAGCAAAAGACCAACTCGACTAGTGGGTCACCGCTCTTAAATCGAGAGCTGGACCGAACTTCTATAAATGCCAACCAACACTTGTAACCTACAACACTGATTGGATAGAGTGAATCGCACCACTTTGCATAAGGCGTCTTCAAGATCCCCTCAAATTTTATTATAAAAAGAGGCGCACAGCACCGGAACCTTGAAAGGACTAACGGAGCAAAAACAATGTGAAACGTTAAAGAAGCTCAGCATTACTGAACCAACGACAAAAGACAGGACAGAAAACAACGAGAATCCGAAAGGACAGAAAGAAACAGAAACGAAGCTTTGAAGAGCAAGAGAAGAACAAGAAGACAACATTAAGAACACTAGTATAAAAAATTGTAAAGATCCTACTACCTCGCGTATAAGAAAAAAAACGTATTGAACATACGTGCTACGCCACATCAACTTGCCTTAATTTTCCTGCATGCATGTGACTATAAATGTGACATACGACTAATATTACAACTAATTCAAGTTATATTCCAGCATTCCTGAAGAAAAATGGGTACAGGGGTAGGGTCGTATAACCGAGCAATAATTACGTGGAAGTGATACGTATATGTATACTGCACGACCCATTCGTCTATAAAAGAAATCCAATTACTGACTGCATCTATAAATATGGCCTTGTCGCATGAAAAGAAGTGATGATATAAATTGCTCTTTCGTTCAGTTTAGCAATGCCTGTACAATTCGAGTGATCAAAACTCTCGAGAAAGTATTTTACAGTATATAGCATGTTTTTTTATATTATGCCTTTGACCTTGTTGTCAATATGTTGACCTGCCAAAACTGAAACAATGTTTAACTTTATCAAAACAAATGATGTTAATTTGCATGAACTTTTGAATATACCTGCTTCTTTTTTCGCGTCTACTTCTCGACAATTTGATATGACGGAAAATATAGAAAGAAGAGAGCACAGAGGTAACATAATGCTTCAGTCGCTTTGACTTTGCATACGCTGATGTAATTTCAAGTAAAAATCATTGCATGCATGTATATATACTGTATTCAGAAAACCGTGTAATTAAGAGTGAAGTTTTGTTTATTTTGGAGAGTATATCTGTCATACGAAAACACTAAAGAACCTGCTCACTGCTCAGCTGCGTGTATAATCCTTTGCCGTGTTTCTTTTTATCGCTTGCAAAATTTGTTCAATGGGCCGCACACTGTTAATTTTATGGTGTTGATTTTATTCGCTCCAAAAAGGGGCTAAACATTAGGTACAAATGACACGTTTTGAGTGCCATTTTAACCGTTTGAGAAGTCGTGCGAATTAGCACTTCGTCGGTATGTGCTAAAATAGCACCACTTTTTGGCGTCATAATAACATGACGAATACAAAGAAATAAGTGCTAAAATAGCACTACATTTTGGGCCAAAATAGGCGTTAATTTAGCGCAATAAATTCGCGAGTTGATTTAGAAGAGCTACTTTAACACCCGTGACATTTAACCTTTAACCTTTTATAAAAATGCTGAAATAACACTTCTTCATCGCCGGTCTGTGTTATACAGTAGCGTAGCCAGCCTGACGATTTGTCCCGCTATTCTAATATTTTGGTGTTCATAGACTGTGAAAACAATGAATTTCTAAGGAAATGAATAATAATAATAACACGAAATGTACATAGCGGGACAAAATCGTAATCCTGGCTATGCCACTTGTGTTATATCGGCACGACATAAGCTTTTCTTCGCATCAGTCAAAATGGTGGATAACGAAGGAGTGATATAGGTTGATATACACAAGCAAATTTAGGTGAAATATCACAATTTCTAACTATCGATATCTTATCAATCTTTATATTATCGATGAGCAGATTGAGCTGATATAAAAAGACCAAGATGAGCGGCAATTGTAAGGAGCAAGAAGCAAAAAGTCTAAGGGTAAGGTAACGGTTATGTTTTTACTTGCGTAAGCCTAGTATAGGAAAGGGTGTGATTTAATCTTATAATTTTTTGGTTCTCGCCTTTTACAGAGCTTATAACTCTACTTATAATTTTACTTTTTTAGCTGTTTTACGATTCACAATTTTTTTTGCGATCATATAGAGTGACAACTTATTTCCAAATTTAGAGATTTCATACTTTTCTACGCCTCAAATTTTCAAGTGTTAAAACAACGGCCAAATCCCGCCTATTTTGACTCCAAATGTAGTGCTATTTTAGCACTTGTTTCTTTGTATTCGTCATGTTATTATGACGCGAAAAAGTGGGGCTATTTTAGCACCTGCCGACGAAGTGCTAATTCGCACGACTTCTCAAAGGATGATTCATGTTAAAATGATACTCGAAAACGTGTCATTTTGTACCTAATTCTAACCTCATTTTGTTTAGCCCTTTTTTAGTGCTAATAAAATCAACTGAGTGTGCCGGCCCATTGAACAAATTTTTGCAACCAGTAAAAAGACACACGACAAAGGATTATACACGTAGCTGAGCAGGTTCTCTAATGTTTTCGTATGACAGATATGCTCTCCAAAATCAACAAAACTTCGCTCTTAATTACACGGTTTACTGAATACGGTGTATATACATGCATGCAATGATTTTTAGTTGAAATTACATCAGCGTATGCAAAGTCAAAGCGACTGAAGCATTATGTTACGTCTGTGCTCTCTTCTTTCTATATTTTCCGTCATATCAAATTGTCGAGAAGTAGACGCGAAAAAAGAAGCAGGTATATTCAAAAGTTCATGCAAATTAACATCATTTGTTTTAATGAAGTTAAACAACGTTTCAGTTTCGGCAGGTCAACATTGACAACAAAGTCAAAGGCATAATATAAAGAAACATATAAATAACTAGATAGATATGCCTACATGAAATAACTAGATAGATATGCCTACAAAAATTAGGCTTTAATCAACAAAATTCTAATACATAAAAACTAATAAATATGGCGGCCAAAAATGTTGCAAACATAATGTCAACTTGAATGCGGGCTCTGAAACCCGATCAGTCCATACTTAATGTTATTTAGATAAATAAGTAAAGTTCTCTATTAATAGCATTCAGAAAGGCAAATATTACAACATTCACCCATCGTTTAAATGTTAAGCCGATCCGGCGGGCGACGCACCCGCTCAAAACGTCGTAGAGTTGGTTGTATTTCTACTGCGTGGATCGGTGGCGCTAATTCTACACCAGAATTTTCTGCTGTTGACATTGGGACAACTTCAGTTGACACGGGGACTGCTTCAGGGCTACTTAACATCGGAACCGGTTCCGGCTCTGGCAAGACAATCCTTGGCTGACCTCTAGGTGCAAGATGTTTAGTGCCACGGTAGTCTCCCTACCATCCGGGTAGCGTATATGAGCATATTGAGGATTCGCCTGAAGCAACTCCACCTCATCAACGAGAGGGTCTGTCTTGCTGGTACGAACATGACGTTTGAGAAACACTGTTCCAGGGGTGGCTAACCAAGTAGGGATAGAGGAACCGGCAGATGATCTCCTTGGGAAACCGAAGAATCGCTCATGAGGCGTCTTATTAGTTGCTGTGCATAAGAGAGAACGGATGGAATGTAAAACATCAGGGAGAACGTCTTGCCAGTTCTTTGTTGGCAAATTCCTTGATTTCAATGACTTAGTAATGGCTTGCCATACAACACCATTATACTTTTCAACTTGGCCGTTACCTTCGGGGTTATAACTGGTCGTTCGGCTTGTGGCGATTCCCTTTTCTGTGAAGAAAGCCCGTAACTCATGGCTCATAAAAAAAGCTCCACGGTCTGAATGGACATAAGCAGGCATTCCAACAAGGGAAAACAACGTGACTACTAGGCATTTGATAACCGTAGTTGTCGAGAGATCAGGACAAGGGAAAACAAATGGAAATCTAGAGTATTCATCGATGACATTGAGAAAATACTTGTTGCCGTTGATGCTGGGTAATGGACCTTTGAAATCTATATTTATTCTTTCAAAAGGTCGGGTAGCTTTGATGAGAGGGACTTTCTGAGGCTGGTGAAACTGAGGTTTACATTCACAACATACATGGCAACTATTAGTGACTTTCTTGATCTCATCCAAGGCATAAGGCAGGTTCTTGGTTCGGACGAAGTGGTAAAGTCGAGTTACCCCTGGGTGACTGAGTGACTCGTGAAGCTTGCAGAGGGAGTCTTCTGTAGCCGAGGCACATGTGGCTCTGGACAATGTATCCGGTGGGACATTGTCTTTTCCAGGTCGATAAATAATGTCGAAGCTATAACAGGAGAGTTCAAGTCTCCATCGCATGATTTTGTCGTTTTTGATCTTCGTTTTATGGCGTTGATCAAACATATACGAGACAGACTTCTGATCGGTTTTCAGAGTGAAGTGCCTCCCTGTTAAGAAGTGTTTCCAGTGTCTTACAGCTTCAATGATAGCTTGTGCTTCCTTTTCTACTGATGCATGTTTGTGCTCACTACCTTGCAGGGTTCTTGAAAAGAAGGCGACTGGTCTCCCATTCTGATTGAGAGTGGCTGCTAACGCTACGTCGGATGCATCGGTTTCAACCTCGAATGGAACGCTGTCGTTAATTGCCGCGACAACAGTTTCTTTCACTGTCTTCTTGAGACTCTCGAATGCTTGGACAGCTTGCGGTGACAAAGGGAAGGACTTACAACTGGTGATCGGCTTAATTTGATTGGAGTACCCAGGGATCCACTGTGAGTAATAGGCAAACAATCCTAAACACCTCTTCAAGGACTTTGAATCATGAGGAACGGGAAGCTCGCGTAGAGGTCGTAATTGCTCAGGGTCGGGGCGGATGGTGCCTTCTTCAATTAAATAACCAAGCAGGGGAAGACATCTTGTTGAGAAGATACTCTTGTCATCATTACAACAGACATTTTTGCACTTTGCAGCTTCAAGAAATCTCTCCAGGTTTTCATCATGCTCTTCCTGATCTTTACCACATATGGTTATGTTATCGAGGTAAGGCAAAACTCCTTTAAGAGCATGATGCCCCACCAGTTTAACCATTTCTCTTTGGAAACAAGCCACTCCATTGGTAACACCGAAGGGCAAGCGAGTGAACTGATAAAGGCCATTGCGGGCTTCAAACGCAGTATAGGGCTTGTCTTCATCTTTGAGCGCAAGTTGGTGATAGGCACTTCGGAGATCAATGGTACTGAAAATCCGATACTTGGCATTTTCGTTGACCATCTCACTTATATTAGGTAGTGGAAAAGCATCAAGGAGAGTAAAACGATTGATGGTTTGGGAGTAGTCAATAGCAAGCCTTTTCTTGTGGTTTTCATCCTTTGTTACTACCACTTAAGCTCGCCATGGCGATTGACTAGGTTCTATGATGCTTTCTTCAAGCAATCTGGTGACTTCTGTATCGATAAACTTGGAGTCTTCTTGACTATATCTTCGGGACTTCGTTGCAATTGGATGACAATCTGGCGTCAAATTTGCGAATGGTTCTGGGGGCTCGACATTAAGCTTGCTAAAGCTACAAACTGACAAAGGAGGTTTTAATCCTCCATACTGGAAGACAACGCTCCTGTGTTGTGATTGGAAATCAATGCCCAAAATCAAATCAGCACAAAGTCCTGGTAAAACAGATAAACTAAGGCCTTTATAATTTTGTCCTTGATAGGCGAGATCAACAATGCAGGTTCCACTCACTTTAGCCGATGATGTTAGTGTTGCCATGGCTATAGTACTAGACGAGGGATGGACTGTTAGGGCCGCTTCTTTTACAATCTTGGGTTGGATGAAGCTCTCACTGCTACCACTATCAAAGAGGGCTTTTACTTGCAATCCATTAATGTCAACAGTTGCTGATGACTTAGATTAGAGATGTTGGTACAGATGAGATAGTGGCTAGAGTTGGTGACCAGGCAGCAGCTGAAATATTTCCTTTTGAATTAGCAGGTTTACCTCGGCACACTTTTGCAAAGTGGCCTTTCTTCTGACATTTCAGGCAGGCAGAATCACGAGCCGGACACTTAGAACGGGGATGCCTGGCGTTCCCACAGAAGAAGCAAGTATCTTCAACTCCCGTAGCAGCTAAAGTGCCGACTTCGGGTTGTTCCATTGAGTTCAAAAGGGGAGCAGATTGGAACGGAATAGCTGCATTTACAAGTGGTTGAGTAACATAGGATTCAGAGCTTCGCATAGCCAATTCAAGGGCACGAGCTTGATCAAACATAGTTTTCAGGTCAAGAGTTTTATTCTCTAACAGACGCTGGCGGATAAGACCAGATTGCAGTCCGGTGATGAATGCATCTCTAATACTCTCCTCACAGTACTGAGCTGCTGTCACGGTCTTAAAGTTACAATCTTTACTTAGAGCCTTCAAAGCTTGAAGGTATTCATCCAGGGTCTCACTTCGAGCAAAAATCTCATTCTTAGGTTTGATAAAAAGGGATTCCAATATTTGAATAGCAGCATCATACTCTGTACTATCTTCAATATGTTGGAAGATTGCAGGAGATACAAAGTTAGCTAAAACTGTTAATTTGTCAAGACCTTCTTGAGGTAAAACAGACAAAAAGTTTACAAAGGTTCGCTTCCAATGAAGCCATTCTTTCGTTGCGGAATTGCTGCTTGGATCAGTCTCAGATCGTTCAGGTCTTAGAACCTTATCCACTGAATTTTGTTGATTAAATTGTTGTGAAATAACTAGATAGATATGCCTACAAAAATTAGTCTTTAATCAACAAAATGAAACCCGATCAGTCCATACTTAATGTTATTTAGATAAATAAGTAAAGTTCTCTATTAATAGCATTCAGAAAGGCAAATATTACAACATACACATACAATACTTGCTCGAGAGTTTTGATCACTCGAACAGTATAATGCGCTAAACAAGCTCAAATGACTTTTAAGGTTTTTGTAGTCAGTGGCGTAGCCAGCCTGACAATTTTGTCCCGCTATGTAAATTTCGAGTTATAATAATTATTCATGTCTTTAGAAATCTATTGTTTTCACAGTCAGTGAATACTAAAATATCAGCATAGAGGGACAAATCGACAGGCTGGCTACGCTACTGTTTGTAGTCAGTTTTGGATTAGATTCTGCCATCTTGAAATCATTAATCAGCAGGCGTTTTCCTTCGCATTACCCGCATTTCTAATGCTGCCCGCTCCGTTCGCCCCCTAATTATCCCGCCCACTCGCAGTATTATGAGACGCCTGCATGTGGAGGAGTTAAGTGGCGGCCTACTTCTGACATACCCTCGTACCTTCCCACGACACAAATAGGAGCATTTGTCTTCTCTTCACTCTTTGTTTGCATATCGATAAACTTTGACTGATCACTAAAAAATTTGCCAAAGGTAATTCAGTCTTGCGAAAAAATTCCGAGTTATATAATTATGTTAATATGATGCATGTGTGTTATGTTAACAATGTTCATTCGGTCTAATATATACTGGAATGATATTAAAACAGCTATCTTAGTATATATAAGAATCTTCGTTAATATAAATTATACTGGAAAGTCATTCATGTGTATTTCATTGTAATGGAAATGCCGTTTATCGCCTGCATGCTATAAAATAAAAAATAAAGTTTTGTAATGAAACAAACGGACAGAAACATGTTTTTTAACGAGTTTAGCTTTAAAATAAGCTAATAATAACAATAATGTGGTTTTTGCAGAAAAGTGTTTCTTTTCTTATTAAATGTAAGTGATGCTTTCCACCCCAACCACAGCCACAGGACCTTTGGAATGGGATGTCAATTGTGGAGGTTTCTCATTTTTAATTTTGCTGCCGAAGAACGAAAGGTTCTCCAGCTTCCCGTCTGAAGAATAGCACAGAATAAAGAAAGAATCTTTCCCCTCTCTCGCCTAGATTAAGACCATTATCTTACCAATAACGCAATGAAATGCCAAACTCAATACCTTGTGTCCTTTTGGGACTTTTATTGTTGCGTTTAGGTCTCCTCTCTTTGTGTATATTTCAACCGCCTTACGATTGTCCGTTGGTATCATAATTTCATTCTGCGAAGAGATACTCAACGACGCTGACGTACTGGACTTACGTATAAACTTGTATTTCAATTGACCGACCTCATCAAAAACATACAGTCGTGGATCTTTCTCTAGGATTATAATGATATCACCTTGCACCGTGCTAAGAAAATCCAACGTATGTTCTGCTTTTACGTCGAAATTCTCTGATACTAGAAAAATATCACACCTAGGTCTTGACAGTACGGACTGAGCAATAGCGAGGTCCGTACATAAAAGACCAAGGTCTGATATTTTTCCAGTACGGACCGAACGTATTCGGTTAATAAGGGATTTATTATATGGCATACAGTATTCAGTTTATCTATTTATATATACAATGCGCTGCAGCATTCTTGCCGGCTCTTTCGCCAGCAAGTCGCCAAGCAAGCACTGAAGTTGATTCCAAAACTTTGTTTTTTTATTACTCGTTAAATAAGAATGATACAGTAATATAAACAAAAATCAAATATGAATAAATATAATATTCACATGTGCACAAATAATGCTCTTCTTCGTCCATTCTGCGTCGATATTTTTCGTTTGAAAAATAAAAGTGCAAGCTTGTTTTTATTTAAAAATATGAGAGTTGGACCGTTACTACGGCAACAGTCTAATACTGGGGGATTCCAGACCAGCAAAGAACCAATCAGCGCACGCCATTTTAGTCACGAGACCGCGTGCCATATAATAAATGTATTTATAATATAACATTTATAGTACGCGCGTGCTGATTGGTCGAGAAGCGTGTTTCTACAACTGTATAGAAACACGGGAATTTTCCCGCCGAAATTTACAAGCGAAGCGATGTAATGAGAATTTGTAATTGAATTGAATCATGATATTTGTACAAAATCTTTTTATTGAGTTATATTATAAAAGAAATAGAAAACATTTTCCGTGTTTCTATACAGTTGTAGAAATACGTGTGGGAGTTTGGGAGAACTCTAAATAACGTAGAAAAACTCGCCCTACGGGCTCGTTTTCCCACTGATTATTTCTCGTTCTCCCAAACTCCCACGCGTGTTTCTACAACTGTATAGAAACACGGAAAATGTTTTCTATTTCTTAAATATTGCATGCCACTGACCTCTACTAAGGCTAGGGCTATGTAGCTGGTAAATGCACTGCACTGAAACTTATATTGATGCACTGTAAATACGCGATTGTCCGCGCGGACAAGCCTGCGACACGAAAAAGAAAATAATAATAATCGCGAAACCTAGACTCGACTACCACAGGTAGCCCTAGTAAAAAGTCTGTAAATCCTCTGTAAAATCCTCGGTCTGATATTTCACAGTATACAGATCGAACAAGCGAGGTCAATAATCTGTTTATTATTAGGCTGAACTGCATCAGACATCCAGAATACTGGTCCAGATAGGCAATATAGAGACCACCGACTATGATTTTTTACGGACCGCTCGTCAACCAATCAAAATGGAGGATCTTGAAAAGCCATATTTTAAACGGTTCTATTTAGAACATGTTAATAAGTAAAAGTACTTATGTGAATTTATATTTATCAGTGATTTACATTAATAGTACGAATTCGACGTTTACGGTAAACGCATTAGCTCTATTTTTGTGTATTTGCTGTATTGAATGTTTTTATTCGTGCAACGGAACAAATATTTTCATTTTATCTAGTTTACGGCTGGTTTATTCCTGTTTCCCTGGCACAGTTTATAGATATGAAAGGACGAGGTGAGGAGGTATCAAATTGACTTCCACCCCCGTTGGATTTGACTCACTGTTATCAGTATATTTTGTAAAATTTTCGTTCGGCCTGATACGTGTTACTTATAAACGGCACCGTATATAGCTAAGTAGTACTCTCCACACTGCAGTCCGACTGTTTGTCTATAAACTGTGCCAAGGAAACAGTAATAAACCAACCCCAAACCAGCCATGTAGCGGTAAGGAATATTTTATGCCCCCGGATATGTAAATGTTTTGAGATGGAATTGGAACTTTTTCATGAAAGGGGATAGATTTGTTTGAAAAAGGCATTTCGAACAAATTAAATTATGTCGAAGTTCAGCATGGGGTAATGTAAAACTTTAGTGAAGCATATATATGCCCATGCAGCAGGAGAAATTTTAATAATTTTTATAATAAATTTCATTTCCTTTTTGCTGACATTTTCGTTTCTATTTATCAACGGTCAGCCGAAACTGGAGCCATGTTAACTATAGGTTAACGCTGACAGTAACATTATGATCTAACAGTAACATTATAATCTAACAGTAACATTATGATCTAACAGTAACATTATGATCTAACAGTAACATTATGACCTAACAGTAACATTATGATCTAACAGTAACATTATGATCTAACAGTAACATTATGATCTAACAGTAACATTATGATCTAACAGTAACATTATGATCTAACAATAACATTATGATCTAGCGGTGAATGCATGCAATAACACTTTAGGCTATTTCCTATTTATATTCCTCCCAGACTAGGTTACAGATCATTTCAAACTACTACAAAATACATTAAACAATTGCGTAAACATAGTTATTTTTCTCCTTTCCAGCACAAGCTAATTTTGATTGATCAGAACATGTCTTCCAGTTCGTGTTGACGCATTCTGTTGAAACTCCATCTTCTTTGAAAGAATTTTCGTCTCCTGAAGGACCTGACCAACATTCACCTGGAATTGGAAATAGTATTCCGTTCAGACGAGAAATGGTTATATTGCATGAATTTGAAAAAAGAAACCTACACAAAACCTACCATAATATTGTATTCCGAAGTATTTAAAATTTTTAGACTTAGTAAGTTGGGCACAACGGCACACGAAATCAGGAAGATAGTTCACCCAATTTCCCCAGTCAATTCCTTTGCCACTGTAAATCGATAAAGTATTGTCGCGATCAGTTAAGATGTAGTTTGGAAGAGGACGTGGAGGAATTTGATCGTCTTTAAAACATCCTTTCTTCTCAAGACGTACTAGACATGATACTAAAGATATTGGGAGAAAATTTTTTTGAATGATGCTATAGAACATTGATGGGGCTATGAAACCGCTTTTCATTAATGTTCGAATCAATATATCAATAAATAAAATCAAAAAGCAGCCTGACAACTCTCTTGTAGAAGGCCTTTTTTATATAATTATTGAATTAAATAATATTTGGCAGTTTGCCACATTACTAATTTTACTAGTCAACTTACATTCTCCAGGAATGGATGGCGATGGTGGTGGGACTGGGGCAGATGTGGGAACAATAACTGGTGGGGCTTGGGTCACTGGTGAGGGTGGTCGGATTTTTTCTTGACCACCAGAAGGACTAGTAGGGGTTGTGGGTGGCGGTGAGGATGGTATGATCGGTGGTGCAGGGGTTGCTGGCGGTAGTGGGGAAGGTTTGGTTGGAGGGGCTGGAGATGGTATGATGGGTGGTGCAGGGGTTGCTGGCTGTGGTGGGGAAGGTTTGGTTGGAGGGGGTGGAGATGGTATGATCGGTGGTGCAGGGGTTGCTGGCGGCAGTGGGGAAGGTTTGGTTGGAGGGGGTGGAGATGGCGGTATGATCGGTGGAGCAGGGGTTGCTGGCGGCAGTGGGGAAGGTTTGGTTGGAGGGGATGGAGATGGCGGTATGATCGGTGGAGCAGGGGTTACTGGAGGAAGGGGTGGTAGTGTCGGCGGACGTGGCGTTGGTGGAAAGATCGGTGTAGAGGTTGGAGGTAGCTTGGTGGGTGGGGGTTTAATGGTTGGCTTAGTGCTATTTTTACCGCATATCATAGGACATATGAAAATATGAGTACATTGCTTGCATTTTGTTTTCATTAACAAAGTAAGTTTGTCTGAAAGAAAAAGTTCAAACTTTAAAAGGTGTTGTTTAATAAATTAGATTTTCACGATTGCTCTCCTGTTTAGAAACAGGCCAAAACCAGAATTTCAGGACATTCATTACCAGAAAAGTTCATAATGCCAGGATTTCGCAATCAAAGATGGCTGCATTGTTATAATAGAATTATATAAGGCAAGAGACAAAATTTGAAATTAAAGCAACTTTTTGCTTACATATTGCAGTTGCATGCGGTGTTCAATTTAAGATTGGCAGAAGTGAGAAGCTCAGTACTTTTATGAATTTATTTTCATACTAAAATATTTTCATATTTTTATATATATTACTTTAACAGGTTCCCCAGTAATGTAATTTGAGCAACTAACCATTATAAATCATAATTACACACTTTCAATATAATGGTTAATTGCTGAAATGACATTACTAACCATTATATATACACTTGCAATATAATGGTTATAAATGAAATTACTAACCATTATTTACACTTGCATTATAAATTATAATTATACACTTGCAATATAATGGTTGATTGCTGAAATGACATTACTAACCATTATATACACTTGCAATATAATGGTTATAAATGAAATTACTAACCAATATTTACACTTGCACTATAAATTATAATTATACACTTGCAATATAATGGTTAATTGCTGAAATGACATTACTAACCATTCTATACACTTGCAATATAATGGTTATAAATGAAATTACTAAGCATTATTTACACTTGCATTATAATGGTTAGTTGCTGAGATAACATTACTGGGGAACCTGTTAAAGGTAGTATAAAAACATGAAAAATTTTTCATAAAAGTACTGAGTTTCTGCCCGTCTTAAATCAAGCTCCGCAACTGCAATAAGTAAGACCGAAGTTGCTTTAATTTCAAATTTTTTCTCGTGCCCTATATAATTCTATTATGACAAGGCAGCCATCTTTGATTGCGAAATTCTGGCATTATGATGATTAATGTCCTGAATTTCTGGTAATGACAGTGGCACAAGCAGCCAAAAGGTAGGAGCGTTTAGGAAATACACATAAGGTGTTTGCGTTTTTCTCACTGAATCTGAACGGTTGGCGCAGAAATATTTTTGGAATTTAGGACTTAGACCGCCCACAAAAGACGCAAGTATTGCTAAGGGAATTCTATGTCACCGAGAAAATCAGGAAAGACATAGACAGACGTATAAAAGTCGAAACAGACCATACGCGATGCGGCAACGCGACGCGAATTTTCAGTTTTCAGAGGCATATGAATTAAATTCTGTATATAAGCAAAATTTGGAACCTATACTAGACGCCAGAACAGTCAAAATGTATTATCGTTAATTAAGTAATGTAGAAGAATATTGTGATAGGTTAAAATTCATTTGCTTTCGAAAAATAAAAAACTTTTAAAAATCCGCCACATCAACTTAATATAATTCTTAATTTAAGCCTTAATTTTTCTCTGACTATGTACGAGAAATGTTACTACTAATTCAAGTTATATTCCAGCATTTTGTACGCTGAGTCGTCTATACAAAATAAATCCATTTATTGACTGCATCTAAGTATGGCCTTGTTCAAAGGAAGTGATGATTTAAATTGCTCTTTCGTTCGGATTTAGCAATGTTCCTACTGTTCAAGTGATCAAAACTCTCGAGGAAGTATTGTATGAGTTATATATATAGCAAGTTGTGTGTGTCTTTGTTGTCAATGTTGACCTGTTAAAACTGAAACGCTGTTTAAACTTTATTAAAACAAATGATGTTAATTTTAACTTTTGGTTATACCTGCTTCTTTTTTTGTGTGTACTTCTCCACAATTTGATAAGATGATGGAAAATATCGAAAGAACAGAGCATAGGCGTAACATGGTGCTTCAGCCCCTCTGACTTTGTAATTTAAACTAAAAATCATTGTACTGTATTCAGTAAACCATGTTATTAAAAACTAAGTTTTGTTGATTTTGGGGAGTATTCAGTCATACCAAAACACTAGAGAACCTGCTCAGCTTTGTCGCTATAATCCTTTGTCGTAAGTCTTTTTACCGCTTGCAGAGATATTTGCTTGTCCTTTGGGTCAACACTGATCTCCTTACTAGCTGCCAAGTTCTAATCGATTTGCACCTTTTAACATCCTGATAATAATAGATTGGTTGCGAATCAGATAACGCTAATCCTACTCCCAATGTGTGCAACATTGCACGGTCAGATCTGTGATGGTATAGCCACGTTCATATCGACCGAAACTGACTGGACGATCAAAGGCAATGAGGCAATCAGGAATCGACGCTCGAATTTCAGTGTCCATTTCCCATTTTTGAAATGTGAGCCTTTTTCACAGTGCGAAGACCAACACTTAACACACCGTCTCGTCCAGTCCTGTGCATGTAAACGCATTTTATATTCTACAGAAAAAGCGCAGAAGCTTTGTGAATTTAAAGTCCTACTTTCACAAATTTTGTGCAAAAGTGCAAACTTAAGCATACACAACAGAAAAAAATGGAGCAAAACGTGATAGTAACCGATAACGGAACAAAAACGACACGGTTGAAAGCCACATTTGCATGGCAATGTCAGAACTGCATGGCATTGACATAACAATGTTCAAAATAGTAACAGAATTAGAATGGTTTATTTCCAATTCTAATGCGATAAAGAGGGTCTGAAGGTAACTGGGATTGCACTATTTTTACAAAGGGAAGATAGATATAAATTATATTCATAAATATTATTTCTCCAAAGGCCGGGATTTCATGATGGGATATGGGATTTTGTGTTACCCAAAGTTGGAATTATCTCCACCAGCTTTTAAGGTAAGATTAATTAAGGTGCTGTTTATATGATCTTGGGTTCCAGAGACAGACATCCCTACATCCATCCACCCCCCAAGGAAAATTCACCAAGCGTTTATATGGAAAAATTTCAAGCAAATAGAATGCGATACTACTGCTTAAAATCGGAATTACATTGGTAGATTTTAATGTAAAAATATTCTTTTCAAATCTATAAACAATAGCGTTATTAAGGTGTTTTGAATTTAAAATGAAGCTGTGTAACTTATTTTGTACACGCCTATAGATCCGCCACTGCGAGGCTGGGATAAAGTGTTTATATGGCTAAAATAACGAGTACATGATGTTTGAAGATTTGGCTCGACGAGTCGCCGGGGGTAAGTCATAATTCTCCTAACTGTTTTCTTTAAATAATTAGATGATGTCTAAGGTAATTCCAAACAAACACCATGATATAACATTATTTATGTGATGTGATTTATATCCGCATAGATCTATTGCCAACCATGATTTTTGCAAACCTTTCCGCAATCAATTATGACACATAAAATTTTACGCCGTTTTGGGATAATTTTGGATAGTAATCTATTGCACAACCCTGGCCTCTCGCTCAGCTGAAATACGGTGTGGCAATTAGCATTGGTAAGCGTCATCTCAGGGAAGCTGAACAGCTTGAATAAGGTGGGGAAGCCTGAGAACCACGGACGCGAATCAAGGGCGGGAATTGAGTGTGCTGGCCTCCGGTTTATGATACCTCTGACCGTGGAACTGAGTAAGAAGCCGGTATTTGGGCGTCTCTATCTCTTCCAGGCATGCCCGGTTTTCATACATTTAACAGTTATTCTGCGAACTCGAGTCGTATATGAGCTGATAGCCGACGAGGCGCGTAGCGCCGATTTGGCTATCGGCCATATACGACGAGAGTGAGTGAGTGTTTTACTATATACACAAACTTTGTCGCCCTTTCGGTGCATTTTGGTGTGCTATTATCAACTAAAGCTTGGATTTCTATTTCACTCAACTCCCCGAATCTTTCCGCCTTTTTGTTTGCTTTCTCTACTAGACAGATATGAGCTAATATCTGTCTAGTAGCCAACCAATGAAATTGCAGCATACCTCATATCTGGCGCTTGTGTATAAAATAAATTCAAATGTTCGCATTTCTTAACTCTTATTTCCGTTTTTTATGTCATTATATGAGTGTTGTGAATAGGAGTAATGGTTTTCCTAGCCCGTTTATTTCTGTCAAATATAACGATATTCATGAATACACCATTAAAATTCCAAATATTTATGTTTGGAAATACTTGGAGGCAAATTACCGCCAGCACCTGTAAGTATGCCTACTAAAATCGTTAATTGAGATATAACGGTCCTCTCTCTATATATATCAGCTACTGTAAATAATGCAATGTACAAAATTGGTAGTGGAGGCTTCGGGAGGAGGTGGATTCAACTTTAAATGAGCTCTGTTTTCTGCGATGTCACGCTTAAACTGACCGTTTGTGGTTTGGGTATTTGGTCTTTGTTAGTTTTCAAATTGCTGCTGGTCATTGACTACTTTTCCCATATTGCGTGCCGTCCATTACCTGTCGGTCTTTAAGATAGGACGCCAAGCTAAGCTCATCATATAAGAGTTTTAATCACCGTCGGCAAGGCGTATCCCCACGGGGGTACACTTTGCCTTAGTATATATATAGTCTATAAAATTTTATAAAATCACATTACATAAATTTCTTATTTTCTTTCTAAATATTTTGCTATAAAAACCAATACGATATTATTGTAAAATATCTAGAAGAATCCGCTAGTGGAGTTCAATTCCGGGGGAGGGGTCCATTTTTATGGAGCTGGGTTCGCTGAGACTCCTGCATTTTGTCGTTCAGGAGTGTTAATTAATACAGACGAATATTTATCTTAAAGTTGGATTCCCGACTAGTTCTTCATTCACAAACGTCATTGCAAGCACGGTGTCGCAGTGCCAGTGTTTATACCAACACTATTTCAAAGGGGGAGCATGGAAATTTAGAAACGTAGTTGTTTAGGTGGAATATAAAAATGAATTATATCATTTTAAATAAAAATGAATTATATCAGGTATGAAACAATTGCACCAGAACAAAACATTATAATTGATACTAGAAATACATGCATGCAGCAACCCCTCGCCATTTTAAACGAAGCAAAATATTTCGTGCGCTACCCAGACCTAACTTTCTACGCTAATGATAGGCATCCCAGGAATACAATTTGTATTTTTATATTCTATTCAAAACTCTCGCAAGCGCACGCGAGTCGCATTGCTATGACGTAATGCATAAACAATTGTCAATTACTATATATATATATATATATATATATATATATATATATATATATATATATATATATATATATATATATATATATATATATATATATATATATATATATATACTTAAGGTAGGAAAGTCTAGCTCACTATTTCAAACCAACACATCTTAAGACGTCCGAAAATATCAAAACCTCGTTTACAAAAGCCGTAAAAACTATACGAATATAAACACGGATAACTCTACTCAACTCTAGGTGACTTTTTTCCCCCAAATACTCCTTCAGATACTCATAAATATGAAAATATTTACGGTGTTTCGCCGTAGTTTATCGTGTCTCTATGCGGGATGCGATCGACTTGAAATTCGTCATAGGTTTCAAATACAATGCCAGCTTCTCATTGGCTATTGAAATTTTCACAAATTTTCGCGGGCTTGATAGCGGGCTTCATTATAAACTACGAGTCGTTCCTATTTCACCAACTGTTTCTGTGCTGTGATGATCTTTAAATCTTTTATTATTGTTTTAATATTTGACTCCATGATTTCATTTCATATTTTTAAAAAATAGTTTGAAAAATGACGGTTAAAATGCTGACGCTATCATGCATGCTTTCTTTTTGTCTTAGTGTTATAAGTTTTTTATTTCTACGCGAGGTAGTGGATCGTTACAATAATTCAACTAAAGTTCGTTACTGTTCTCTTCTTTTTCTATCTTCGATCTTGATCGTCGTTAAATGTTCTTGTCTTCTTCGTCAGTTCTGTCGTTGAGCTTCCTAACGTTTCATAAGTTAATCTTTACTCCGCTAGTCCACTGACTGTTCTGTTGCTGTGCGCCTCCTTTTATAATAAAATTTGAGGGGATCTTGAAGACGCCCTGTGCAAGGTGATGTGATTCACACAATCCAATCAGCGTTGTAGGTTGTAAGTGTGGGTAGGCGTTAAAAGCTCGGTCCAGCTCTCATACTTTGTTTACTTAAGGCCGGTGACGCACTAGTCAAGTTGGTCTTTTACTTAATCGATCACTGTTAAAACTTGTTCACAACTTAAAATATTTATCATCAACTTAAAGTACAATTATCAACTTATTACTCTGTGAACCGTATCTCAACTTATAAACTATTTTACTAATAATTTCATCGAATTAAGCTTTTAGTGACGTAAGGCTTCAAGTGCTTAACCGAGCAAAATATAACAAAGACATGATTGACATAAACTAGTATCCGCCTAGAACTTATGTTCTTGAGTCGTGACACTTGTACTTTGTACGACACACTATTGTTTCGGAGGAAATCCCATGGGCTGTCACCTTATGACAGGAAAAGTAATTTTGCGATTCCGAAGGGTCATATTAATATTTACTTTACACTTCATTTTATGTGACATGTTCCCCAAGTAATTTCCTCATCTATATTGACCTTCTATTTCTTAACAATGCTAAATTACATTATATATGCGCATTTCGTAACATTAGTTAATCAGCAAGTCGTAGACGACCGTTCTTTCTTCGTTAAAATTTCGCGCATGCGCACAACTACCATGACCATTGAACGTCCATGACATTTTGGCAACTTTGGATTCCGCTATGTTCTCCCGGGTCCCGGGTGTAATTCCTAATCTCCGAGCGGAATTAGTACCCTCGCACGGCGCTCCGCGCCGGCTCGGGGATGATTTCTCTATCCTCTCTGTACTAATTATGTCATTAGATTTCACGTTTTATACTAGTTCCGCAAGAAAAAATATTATAACCAGGCCCTTCGGAATTTCACATCCCAAGATTTTTACACTGTGCTAAGATTTTCACACTGTGAAGGTTAGGAATATGGTACCAAATCAAATTATCCAACAGCAATAGAAAACATTTTAACTTTTGTAAGAGGAGCAAAGTATTGCAAATAAGGCAAAAAGGTCAGCTGAATTCAATAAGGCCCGTTTACATTTGCAATTTTTTTCTTTTGATAGATGTGAACGAGTACTTACATGTCAACGAATAGTTACAAATGCTCTTGGGCCGGTTGTTCGAAAGTAGAATTGCATTGCAAGTTGCAAGAAAAATTGCACCGTGTAACATGGCCTTAACTAAACGAGGATTCATAATGATTATGAATTCAATGTTATAAAATTAATGCTTAGCAACAGCTGAAGTTGTGGTATATGAAATTTCAGTATAATCCTGTTTTCTCTTGGCAAGTCTTAACTTATCTATTGGATAGCTATCCACTCCACTATCCATGCCTCGTGCAGCCCGTTTTTATCCAATGGATAACTATCCACTGGATAGCAGATTTATCCGATGGATAGAACTTATATGTTGGAAAAGTTATTCATCTTTCGAACAACCCATGCACCTCAGACGTATAAGAGCTCTTACTGGAACATCAGTAACCAATATCATAATTCACTCGTTCACATCTATCAAAAGAAGAAAATCGTAAATATGTGTATTGGCCTATAGGTGCGGACAAGTGGAGATTTGCGGCAAACTGTGACTACGTCTCTCTTTCTGAATAGGCGTAGCCCAAGATTGCAGCTCTGTCGATCTAATTTTGTTTCCGACAAGCCTGTAAACTTAATTGATTTACAACATGTTGGCTTTCCGAGTAGTTTTTTTTCGTACTTTAATGCATGCTTACTTTTTCGTAACAAACAGCACAACGGTGATAAAACAAAGTAATTATATATAAGTTAACGAACCCATAAGTTAAGTGCATAGATTGAAGGAGGAATCCTTATTGCATCAGATCCGAAATCATATGCAACAAATCGAGATTCAAACTTTGCGTCATCTGACTCTGTTATTGCAATACCATGGTCTGCTCTGCTGCAATTTCTTCCTCCTCCACCAATCATCATTACAGCACCATCACCGTGATCCCAATCACACCAAAATCCAATGTAACTGCTGTTTTGTATATTACTACTGCAATTGTGCTGTTCAAAACCAGCTGTTGTTTTGTACTGACCTCCGTAAATAACTGGACATCTCCCAAGACACTTGTTACTTGCCCAAACTTTGTGATTACGAAAGTTTCCATAACTTGTAATCTTGGATCTAAATGTCTGACCTAATACAGAATTTTCAGTTAATAGTTTTTGCCATTTTATGGTCATCTTTCTTCCTACGCGCCCGTTGTTTTTTAGAAGCTACAATATACAAATAATGAATGTTTATGAGTGCAATGGTAAAAATATTTAGCCGAGTTGAATGGAACATTCTATCTTTCACCAAGTGAAAATATTTTTACCATTGCACGAATGAAAACATTCATTATTTGTTTTATATAATACCAAAATAGACTGTCTCGTTTCAAAAATATAATTTATTAAAAAACATACTGTATGGATCAACAACCATATGTGCGAGAAGCATTTTGATGGATGGTATTTACTGAAAGCATTAAGAGTGCAATGGAACAAAATGTATAGTACAATTGCACTCTGGAGAGTGCAATGGAACGCTTTCCATTGCACTCTTGGAAAATGGGACTTTCTATTCAATATCACGTGATTGTCACCAACCAATTAAACGCTCTAAATTTAATGGGGTATTATATAATATAACTTATATCGCTACACCTTAATGGAGAATTTGTTAACGAACTCGTGATCCAGGAAAAATATAGGAGTCATTTGTTCCATCTAATTACAATTTTTAAGGCTTAAAAAGTCAACTGCGGGCTTAACGCAGTGAATTAATTTCAAAAACATGATGACACTTAAATATGATGATTTCTACCCCCCAATGTCATCCAATTAACCCTAGCAATACGTAGAATTTTACCTTGAAGACAATTAGAGGTAGTTTGTAGCAAAGCTGTATTGCTGCAATCATCACTTCGTGTAATTTTTATTTCTTTTCCTTTTGTTATCCAGAAACCTCTAGCTATCATGTCTTGATTGTTCATTGGATCGTTCACGTAGCCATATGGTGTGACTTTGTCATACCAGTAATCACTCTGGCGCACCCAGTGTTTATGATCTCGGTTTGAAAAGCGTGCAATAAGTGTCCAACCATCGTTCAATCGGTGACATTGTTGCTAGACGGTATATAATAAACTAATAACTCAACTAAAAATGAGAACTGTTGCTCGATGGGGTATAGCGACGAGCAAACAAACACGGGAGTACTGGCCATAGCTAAGTAGCATGCTCAATACTACCATTCCATAGCTTTTCATTTGCCCTTTCGTAGAAGACCTCACTTTACAGCAGGTAGGCACGGTTACTCGGATAGACATTAGTACTCGGATAGTATTTTCGAGTATTCCGTCTTAGCTGGGTATATTTTGATAGTTGTTGTTGAAATATGATCCGTTTGAAGCGAAATATGAAACCTTGAAGCCTATGGTAGCCCTTCCTCGTATACTGATGATGGCTGACAAACAAGAAGGAACGATTATTTAAAAACGGGAAGGTTTGATTGAATCAAGTCATTCAAGTGATAGGGGTGTCGATATATCAATGTATCGTTTCGTGAAATGGAACTGGTAACGTTCAATATGTATTACTGTAAACTATGAATATGTATAGATTGAAAGAAAATTATATTCAAATTTATAGTAACTTGAATAATAGCAATACATGTACATATGAATAAATCTGAAAGCATAATATGATGATCAAAACAAAAAAAAGCACAATAACTACGCTGTTTAACTGCGCTAAAAAAGCTTCAAATGACTATTAAGGTTTTTGTTGTCAGTTTTTAGATTGGCTTCCGCCATCTTGAAATCATTAATCAGCAGACGTTTCCCTTCGCATTACCCGCATTTCTAATGCTGCCCGCTCCGTTCGCCCCCTAATTATCCCGCCCGCTCGCAGTATTATGAGACGCATGTGGAGGAGTTAAGTGGCGACCTACTTCTGACATACCCTCCTACCTTCGCCAAAGGCGTAACTAGAACGATAATTGGGGGAGGGTTGAATATTCATATAATTATTCAGTTCTGCCAGACGGATTTCTATTGTAAGCTATTGCAATTACAAAAGAAATCCGTAGGGCAGAACTGAATATATCAATATTCCCCCCCCCCTCGAATTATCGTTGCAGTTACGCCACTGACCTTCGCACGGCCCAAATAAGAGCATTCAGTAAAACCAAACCAATTTATACTCACAGGTAATGTATCCATGTCTTGGTAAAACATCCATTCCCTATTTCCAACAAATTCCATTTCTGTGTGTATTTTGTTGTCGCTGATCTGACAATTCATTTCATATTTTTCTGATCCAGGCTTGTAGTTATAACCAACACATACTTGGCTTTCAAGACATTTTAAAGAACATTCAGCTTCGGAGTCAACAGAATGAGTGGATATGATATCTTCTGGGGTCAAGGAACCACCTTAATTGAAGTGTTTCGTAGGGAAAAATAGCATTTAGAAATTGCTATCTCGATAAATGGGAAATTGAATATATAGTTATTTGATGCACATTCTTAATCTTAATGAAAAGTGTCTATATGCTCGACTTTAGCTAATTTTTTCTTGGCCATCCCTTTAATTGGCGGTTTTATACAGGGAAACGCTTGCTTGTGGAGTTCAATTTATATCTTTGCTATCTTCGCAAGTTATATTCTTCATTGAGCTTGCTTATTGCCTGTGATCCATACATCGTAATCTTTATCAAAATGATTAATTATCCATATTTTGTAGAAACATAATTCTTGTTGCAAGTGATAACAAATATTCGAAAAATAGGAGATAAAACATTCTTGTGCCGAAGAAATAAAATCATCAGCTAATTTTGATCGAGCACTCACCAGAATCTCGCATTTTCTTGAAATACCTTTGACTATCCAGTAAAGATGTTTCTGATTTACAAGACAGGCATTGGCTTGAAATAATGAAGAGAAAAGGCAAAATTCTTATTGCTGAAAGATCCATATTATTTAGCATGTATGATAAGATGTGACATTAATTTTAATCTTAAGACGGCGAAAGCAACTCACAAAAGTGCAGGTGTGTTTGCACTAAGATAGCATATTATAACGACAATAACCAGTAAAAAGACAGCATTAACTCATTGGAATATATAATATTCCGTATATCTAAACGGTAATAATACGACTACGTTTCTACAGTGGCGTAGCCAGCCTGACAATTTAGTCATGACTAAATTGTCGGGCTGGCTACCCCACTGCGTTTCTATCATAAGCGATGTAACTTAAGCCGCGTTTACACTACGTGCTTTGACCTGACGTGGGTCAGGTCTAGGCCTAGATGTGAACTTAGTTTATCCGATCCAGAAGGTGGCCTGGACCTGGCCTGGGGCAGGATTTTGGTATGTGAACAGGCTTTACCTAGTCCTGACAAGTTTTGAACTTAATAGGATGTTTTGTATAGGATACATATAGTATTACCATGCATGTACTTTTCGGCGTGTTTTGGGTCTTTTTCAAGTATTTTGTCAATTACTTTGGCAATCCGATATCATCAACAAGGAAGACAGTGTGAACGTATCACGTATTACTTGGACTTGTCCCAGACCTGATCCAGGTCAGGTCTAGGCCTGAAGTGTAAACGCAGCTTTAGTCCTGCATGATCAAACAAGATATTCCATGGTTAGAGTTTTTATTGCTTAACTGCGCATGCATGGGCGAGGCCTTTATGTTCTTGACCTGTTTTGATTCTGGAGGCTTATATAGGCATGGTCGAAGTAGTCGGAAAACCAGCGCAATTTAAATTGCGCTAAGTAGAAATTAAACAAAATATATATCCTTTAATGAAATGATGATTTATATTTTTCACATATTAAATGATATCGCCCGTATACAAAGTGGCTTTGTCAATTTTTGTACAGCTGTGAAAATAAGCTTACACATCTGCGAGTTCGTTTGACTAGCTTAGTTTGTGTGTGAACTAGGAAGGCTGGTGAATTCATTTACTATCACTCCAATGTAAACTATTATTAGCATATTATACATTTTGGCAAATTCGTATGAATTGAAATGAAAAAGTGCATGTTTGCAATTCCTAAAAGACATCAGACGTTACTTCACAAACAAAATAATTTAGTCTTCGCTTCGATAAGCATGGAGAATTGAAAACACTGTTTGCAACGAAATGTTGCGAAAAAGTTTGGTCATTCAAGGGAAAATGATTTCGGAAAGACAAAATATTTCACTCATCAATGATCACCGACAATAATATACTTTCCGACGATATATTGAAAGTCGAACGTAGCAGATTGGAAATTAGCACTGCCATTGAGAATAGTCACTACTAGTGACGGAAAAATCATGTCATAATAGGGCTAAAATTTTTTTCCATCAACCATCGACACAATCAAACTTGTTATAATCTTTGAAAAACCACTGAATATAAAAGTGTAGGCGTTTGAATTTGGTATAACTATATACACTGGTTTATTTTGGAATCTGTGCGAAACTTCATGTTGCCATTTTGAAGTGAACTGTCACATGATCTGTGTGATGGTATCATTTCATATAAAAAACACGGTGAGCACTACCAAATACACGGTCAGTTTAAAAGTTCAAAACAGTTTAGATTTGGCGTAGTTAAACATGCTAAACTAAAACATTATATTTGTATATTAAATAATTTACGTTCTAATACATTAGTAACATTACTTACCGCAACACTCTTGTGGAATGCGTGGTAGCCGGTGAACTTTATCGATTTCATCGGCCTTTGCCCCTCTCGTTGTTATTTTCGTAGTTGTACTGTTCGGTCGCCTGATGTTGTTTGTCCGCCATTTATTACATTATTTTTTTAGATAAAAGGCATTCGATGATTCATCTCGATAAATGACCTCGCAAATTATGAAAACGTGAATCGACTCTTCTCGATAGGATTCGGAAAGTGTCGCGAAGTACACGATGACTTCCGAAACTGCAAATGATGTTACCGATCATCAAAGACGCTACCGACTGTTACAGAATCCAAATCCGCATCGGCGACATATGGAAACCAGGCTTTAGCTTCTGATGATGTCGTTGTACGACAAAAGTTAAGACGTATTATTATTAACAAGAAATTTACCATAACAGTAGCTACTTGCCTCGCTTGAATTGTTCTCAATTTTATAAATTTGATAAAGCAGATAATATTGTTTCGAAGCAAGCTTTTAAACTTGTTTTCTTCAAAAGAGAATGCATTCCTTTGGCTTGTTGACTTTGATGATGTTTTTAGAGAATTTTCATAAGAATGTTTTACAGTATTTACATTAATTAAATTAATTCTTTTCAAGTTATGATGGAAAAGCTGATTTGAATAATATGTCGGAAACTGTTTATTAGTCAGTATAATTAACCTACCTAATTAGATTAAAAATGAACAAGTTTGATTGACATTTATTGCATGGGAGTGTACTTTTTAGTTTTGAGAACATATGGGCAGTGTTGGGTTACCACAGCGAAGTGTGGAGTGCGAAATATATTGTGAGGAGTAGTTTTTAATAATTATATGTTTATTTCTTGGTGGTCTGGTGTTATTTTGCGTTTGTGAACGTATGGGACTCGTATCTAAAAGGATCGAACCCCTTTTCCCACAAATATACTGATTTTGGACGCAGAGTGGGTATATATACAGCATTTTTACGTCAAATGATTACTTTTAGAGCTTAATTGCAACCTAAAATCTAAAAATCAGGGGCTCCGGAACCACGGAGCAGAGGGAACAACCCCGCCCTTTCCTGCCATGTATATATAATAGTATCATACATTCACCATTTAATGATGCTTATCCTTCGCATTAAAACTAACCAGTAATATTATTAAAAAGGGGTTCTCCAGTCTCGTGGATTTGCAAGTTCGCATGTAATTGTAAATTTAAGTTTCCTATTCGTGTGGTTGCCAAGATAAAATGAATGTACTCTTTTCTAAAAACTCTGCTTCAGCCTCCGGCGCCCCTGCTAAGAATATACAAGTCCATCTACACTGATGGTAAAAAATTATATAAGTTACAACACTTTGTAGAACAAGATATATTTTTTAGCGAACCCATAAGTTTAGTGAGTAAGTTTTAGGCTGAAAGTTTGATGCATCCCCTCCGAATTCATGAGTAATTAATAATGAACCCAACTTTCCTGCATTTTCCTCAGTTATTGCAATACCATGGTCTGCCCTGCTGCAATTTCTTCCTCCTCCACTAATCATCATAACAGCACCATCTTCTTTACCCCAATCACACCAAAATCCAATGTAGCCGCTGTTCTGTATATCACTACTGCAGCTGTGCTGTTCAAAACCAGCTGTTGTTTTGTACTGACCTCCGTAAATAACTGGACATCTCCCAAGACACTTGTCACTTGCCCAAACGCTGTGATTACGAAAATTTCTATAACTTGTAATCTTGGATCCGAATGTCTGACCTGAAAAGAGTTCGTAACCATTCGAATATTGTATATTTTTTAGTTTGAAAGCGAGCATCGTTTATTCTATGCCAATTAACCCTTGGAAAACTTATTGAATAAATATCACAAAATATTGGTGATGTAGGGTTAATTTCAGATAGTGCTTAAGTTTCACGGAGATTCTGAAAATGACTTCAATTATTGTTTTTGGAAAAACTGCATGTGTGCGGCTAGGAATTGTTTTTTAAATAGTTTGTAAAAAATGTATCATCGTACTTTGAAGGCAATTCGAAGTAGTCCGTAATAAGGCTGTGTGACTAGAGTCGTCACTTCTAGTTAACTTGATATCATGTCCGCTCTTTTGCCAGAAAGCGGTCGAAATCATGGTTGAAATGCTCATTGGATTATCAACATCTCCATACGTAATTCTGTCATACCAAAAGAAGGGATTCTTTAACCAAGATTTGAAAACTGTGTTGGAGAAGCGAGCAATAAGAGTACAGTTGGAATTTGATAGATAGGAGTTGACCTGGGTAAAAAAAGAAAGTAAGTAAGCCTTACAATAATGATAGTCACGTCCATGGGTTTTAAATCGATCCACGTAATTATTGTTCATCATCGACAAGAAGCGTCATAAATTTCGCACCAATTTTTCCTCAAATGTACGTAGTTCATAAGCACACCTGACGAAGCAAGATGGCAGATACGTCAAGCCGCACTTTTATTGCTACTGAACGAGTGGTTGGTGGCGTTGTTTGGAAAATGTTCATTCGATTAGTTTTACTATTAATTCAGGCCCATGCAGTAGGTGCATGGCCAGAAATCGCGGACATGGAATTCATATGCAGATTGCCGTAAATAATTTGCATATGTTTTAACTCTGCATTTTTAGTTTATTTCTACAAGCGTTTTATGTGGTATTGAACGTGATAAACGGCTAAACTTTGGCTTGAAAATACAGGAAGAGTACTGATAAAAAATTTTTAAAACTACCCCAAAATATTTGGAATAACTTAATTGCTCTGCAAATTATAACCGACTTACTAATATTTGTATTGCAGCGTTTTTAATTAGTGCTTTGTATTATATAGTTTTTATAGTTTTCTATAAACTCACGAGGCTGTAGTTTGACATCGTTTGCAAATTTCGTTGGAAGAAGGAGCAGGTTAACTTTGTCCGAATTTTCTGTCTAATGTCTAATATTTGAAATACATGCATATCCTATCTTCCTCATCTCTTTATCTCCATTTCTAGACCCAAGATGCTGCATGGCTTGGTTTGGCCAGTCACAACACAAAGAAAAATGAGTTGGCATTTAACTCACATAATATGTAACTTCTAGGCTCTGGTAAAATATCCATGTGCTGATCCCAACACGCTCTCTGCCGCCGTCTTTTGTCTTATTGCTTATTTGACAATTCACCTCATATTGCTTTGATTTTGGCCTGTAGTTGTAGCCAAGGCACCCGGGGTTCTGAATACATTCAAAGGAGCACTCGTCTTCGGAATGGACAGTGTAATTGGATATCATATCTTGAGGTAACAAAGATTCGCCTGATTTAAGATTAATTTTAAAAAAAAAGTAAAGTCGGTCTATGATTAAACTAATGATTTACGATTCGGGTTTTAGAATGGCAATAATTTGAATACGATTTAAGTGAAACCTACTTTCATGTATATTAATAGTCAAAAGGGAGTACCCCGTTTCTTATTTTATTCAAAAAATTGTCGTCATGAACTTCGTTTCAAAGTTCAAATCTGGTATAACAATTGCCTAAATGAGACACTTTCTCGACGTTTCATTTGTGTAGGCTTTCATTGTCGTACGACGAACTCTCCAATCTCGTTCCCTGGGTCTTCTGTGTTCAAGATTTAAGAAGAACCTGCATGCGAACGAGGTTGCGAACTCTCCTGACGGAGGCCCTTCTGTCCAAACGTCGAGAGGTATTTTTGTCTATTACTTCTTACGCAGTGCGTGTTTGCACCACATATAGCTATTTTACATCTATATGTATCTGCCGAATGCACGCCGTTTTGCAAAAATAGAACACTTCACACCCCTCTCCGCTCATGAGATAACTTTGAAACATTTGGAATGTATAGCTATAAAAAACTTCGACTAAATTAAGTAAATAAATCTCATATACAAACCAAGGAAAATTGTTTTTGCATCAAACCGCAAAAATATAGTGATCACTTATAAAACTAATTTTCGCTCAATATATTCGAGAGGATACAACCATGCACCTCTTATGTAAGTTAAGAGGGGAACAGCTCCCGATATTATGAACAGGGAATGTATGCATATGCTTGATTATGATGTTTTAAGTTTGAAAACAGAAAAAGGCATGATGATTCCTATCATTTTGCCTGATGTGGAATCGAATCGATGAGTCGATCAAATAAGTATTTAGGATCAGCGTTTCTTACAATTTTTGTGTGCTAACTTTAATCCTTTTTATCAAAAAATCTTACCATAATCGTATATTTTCTTGAAGTACTTTAGCCCATCTGACTCTGACGTACATTGCCTTGACATGACGATTAAGAAAAAAAGCAGGTTTTGTTTCATTTCATTGGAATTCATCGTGAAATTTTTGATGCAGCTTCTCCTTTGAAGATAGCCGGAGTGAATAAAATATCGAATGTGTCTTGTAATTATTTAGGGATAAGGAATGGGAATTGGAATTGGAATTCGTAGCTTTTGGCATATTGATTCATCAAACTTGTACGCAATTTATTGAGTGTGGTTATTACATTAATAATTTTATGATAAATTTGCATGCATGCACAAATGAAATAATATAATCATTTTTATGTTTAGCTACCACGGTAGTGGCTTGTTCGGTCGCCGGATTCAAAATTAGTAAAGCTTGAGTTAGTAAGTGGCGAGCTTTAGGAAAAATATTCTAGCTATGACTATATATAAATCCCCGTTTATACACCACATTCACCACTTGACGTAGGCTACCTGTTTCATCCTTGCAGCTGGCGTTTGTATTTGTAGTCTAACCACTGGCACCAATTTTAGCCGTATACAATATGCAAGCATTGAATAAGTTGAATTGTTTAAGCGGGCTTAGATATAGCTAAATAGATTTGTCATATTATCGGATTGATCTTTTTGCTCTTCTAGTTTTTGTATAGTGACAATTTTTGATAGTTTAGTACTTAATAGTTGGAATTGGTACACCTTTAATGCAAAATCTACCTAGACTCTAGAGGTATATTGTACATAATAAAATGGAAGTTTCCAATCCATATATTTTACTACAAATGTTCACTTGTCATTGGGAGAGATTTATTAAGTTTACTTTAATAATATAGGAACAAAAACCCAATAAAACCATCATAATATTAATAATTATACCGAATACCTCCCTAGTGGAAAAGTATGACAAATATGAGAAATAATAATTAAATGCAGCTATTTTGTCTTACAACGAAGACATAAGCAACGATTCGGTTGGTTTATTCCTAGTAATCTGAAATGTTTATTTCTCGTTCTCTTTAGACATAATCAAAATTTAATCATGTTTTAATGAAACGTATATAGGAAGTAGAAAGCCAAATCCTATACAGACTAATAATTACAAAAATATATTAGATTTTTGGAGCAGGTGTCTAGCTGGGAGCCACTCAACTTGGAAAAAAATAATATTTTTGCTTTGTCATCACGAGAATCGGCTTCAAACTTCCAAAAGACAATTTTTTCTGTAATTACAAATTATAATTATTACGATATAATGGGTAAGAAATTATTTTGAATATAACATGAACAAAAAAACTAAGATGCCCATACCTATATTGGGACAGGAATATCTTTATGTTATTTAGATCCGTATATAGGGAGATATTTCCCAAAAGCAGGTTTTCGAACTAAACAGTTGAATAATAGTTTTTTTTAATTTCCTGCCACCCCGTACGTGCGTGTTTTTAAATCTCGCGTGGTCCGTACGACTTCATACGGACCGCTCGCTTAGCCAATCAGATTGCATAATTTTGCATCATTTTTGAGACATCCCGAAATAATGTACCGAATTTGAAAAGTTATATGAGTTTTTTTAAAAAAGACCATAGCTTGGACCAAAGTCCAAGGTAGTCTTTCCTCTAGATCTAATGAGAGTCGTTTAATTTCGATAACTTTAGTCGATAAGAAGCTATTTTGAATCAAATTGGAGCACGTTTTTTGGACACCCGCGGTATAATATAATATAAACTTCATTAAGTGAGGCAAATACATGCAAAAAGAGACCTGAACTTGTCAACTCACTTTAAATATGCCATTTTCATGGATGTTTTTTAAATATTTTTTTTCAAAGTTCGTATTTAAATAAGAGTTACGTTATCTAGGTCGAATCAGGAAGATATTATCAAATATCAAGCTAGCGCTATATATGGCATTATGATATAATATATTGAGTCTAAAGATTTAATAACTACAAAAACATATGATTAATATATTCTTTTCTTATATTTCTCTTTCCTATTGCCGATTTTATGAAAATACTTCTTGTATAATAATTATATCAGTTGTTGCTCCTTATTGAATGAATTTGATTGATTGATATATGCCTTTTCCAAAATATTAATAATGTGAACCGCACGAGACCCACTTGATTGATCGCTATGTAGATTAAGATATGTCGTCTTGCACGTATCAGGATAAGCGGAGTATTGTACAGTCATAAACATGCAGCTGCAATATAATGCAAAGCCGGTCTAACATTTGAAATTCCGGCAGAATCTTCCGCTAAAACTTGTTTATAAATCCAATCTGTGAAATCTCCGTAAATGAGCTTATACTTTTGAGCGGAAAAAGACTGCAAACTGCAGGTAAGTTGGATTTTTTAATTTAAATCATGTTGAGTCTAAATTAAGTTCCTGCTCGAGCGCGGTTTGCCGTTTAATAACATCAGTTTATGAGCAAAGGAATCGTTCCGTCCACTCGACTTGTAATTTATGTATTTTTCAGCGTTATTATGTAATGGCTGAGTATTTCACTATCTTTCGTTTTGTTATTCTTATTTATATATACTATTAAGAGAAATGAAATAGTACATCATCGTTTCTGATGTTTTCACTGCATGCGCGGGGAATATCTACATGTATTTGAATTCAAGAGGCTTAACATATACAGTGGAGAAAACAAATTGGTGCATTTACATTTTATTATTGGTCGGCTGCAATTGTAAGGAACACTAAAAAGCAAATGAATCATAAATGCCTGAAGTCAATAGGAAAGAATATTTCTTTGCAAATTCAAATAGACGTTTAAGATAGCAATACTCAAACTATGTCTTTAGTTTAATATGATTTAGTTTAATATTTAACGGGTTTTTTTATGCGGTCGACCCTTTTGTCGTAAATAAGGAAAATTGTTTAAATTCAATTGCTACGATCGTTAAAATATTTTCTTTTATGTAGAATTGTCATTATGGTTATTCAAAGTACATTTGAGAAAAGATGTCAGAATATTTCTCCTCCGAAAGAATTATCATTTGTGACAGCCAGCATAGCATTCGTCTTTATTCTTACCAACATCCCTGGAAATCTTCTTAATATTTTTGCTGTTGTATTTGATCCGAACAAAAATTTACGAACTCCATTCAACTGGTTGATCGTTAATTTATCAGTAGCTGATTTAATCGTAGGCATCATTACTGAGCCTTACTTGGCTTATTACGCCATTAAGGAAGGACTTGAAAAAGACGTTTCAGACGAACTGATCGTCATTCACTTGGTTTACTTCATTTCATGCTCTGCGTCGATCCTTAGTCTTACAAGTTTAGCAGTGGAACGATATCTGGCTGTAAGAAGACCGAATATTTATCGCACTAAAGTGAACAATAAAAGAATTCTATTAACAATAGTAGTGATCTGGTTAATTTCGCTAAGTTTACCTAACGTTTATCTTTATGTTGGTTTTACGGCATATGCATTTATGTTTGCAAACACCTCCACTGCAGTTGCCGTTATAATCATCTGTACAACCTACACTTTGATGCAGAGAAAATTGCGATCTTGGAGTCTAAAAATGCAAACAATTCCTTCCTCTTCAGCCAAAGAAAATGATATCGCACAAAATGAAAAATTGCCAACTCGCAATTTGAATTGTATCACGACGAGTCAACTCTTGGAAGCCAAAGTCACTCAAATGTTTCTGATCGTTCTTATAGCTGTTCTGTGTTGTTATGGTCTCTCTACGGTGATGATGTATTTGGTAAATTTCTGTCATGGTTGCAGTTGTACAACCCTTCACTGGTTCCGAGATCTTCATGTCTTGCTTATTCTGATGAATTCAAGCATTAATTTTTTCTGCTATGCTTTAAGATCTACAAGATTTAGAAGCGCGTTCGTTAAATTGCTACGTATCAATTGCAAGTAGTTGAGTGGAGATGAACGTTCTTTAAAGTTCTGCATGATGTTATTAATTATATAAAAGGTCAAAAATGTTTTTGTTATACACCATGTAATTAGTCTAATACAAATTAAAAAATTACATTTCTCTAATGATGGCCCGGGCGTGCA